TTTTGCCTTGTAATTGGTTTTGGTTTGTGTCAAGTTTTCCTTCTCTTTGCAGTGCTGTTGTACTGCGTAGTTAGCTCCTTTAGTCAGCTATTACGACACCCACGGGATGAACAGGGGTGGTTACACTCCGTATTCTTCATCCGTCACCACACAGATTAGTAAGGATAATATTAGTAGAGATTTAACACTTACATATGGCCGCCATGTTCTTCTTTTCTTTGTTTTAGGTACTGGATGAATTTTAAGTATTGTTCCAAGTCATCTTCTATTGAATATGGTCTAAAACAAAAAAAAACAAACATTATTACATCACATCAACATCAACACATATCAACAGCCTATAATAGTATACTGCTGGACTTAGGCCTCTCCTTAAAAAGGATGTTTTGGGATACTATACCACGCTGGTATAGTAGGCCAAAACATCTGCCAAACGCCAGACGGGTTGGTATAGGGTTTGTGTCAAGTTTTCCTTGTCTTTGCAGTGACGTTGTCCTGCGTAGTTTGCTCCCTTAGTCGGCTCTTACGACACCCACGGGATGAATAGGGGTGGTGACATTCCGTATTCTTAATCCGTCTCCACACGGGTTATTTTTACACGGGCAAAATAAATTAACAACTCACTGTGAAATAATAAACCTCTCAGAATTAGGTCCGTTTATCCTTCGTAATATGTGTTCTGGAATATTGATTCGTATTGATAACACTTAATAATAACCTGACACATATCACACACACGGCCGTCTGATCCCAAACTAGACAGAGCCTGTACTATGGTAACCAGACTGCTGATAAACATACTTATATATTACTAGCTTTAGCCTGCTACTCCGCCCGCGGGTTTGTCGGTTATCGCTTAAAAAATTGAAAACCGGTGTTAATCAATGCTTTCGTTGTCTTTCATTGAGTAAGTGAGGTTACCGGAGCCTAAATCCCTCTCCCGCTGACTATGAGGGACACCAAGGGCAGCAACGCACTTGTGACTTTTGAGTTGCAGGTGTCCATGGGCGGCAGTAGTTGCTTACATCAGGTGACCCGTCTGCTCGTTTGCCCCCTTATGCCATAATCAAGAATCAAACTATCTCCATACTAAATTTCATTTGAATCAGTTCAGCGGTTATTGATTTCCCAAACATACTTCCACCCCCTTTATAAGAATTGTTTTTTTTTAGTATAAAAACTATCCTGTCCTTTCCCGGGACTCAAACAATCTTTTTACCAAATTTCATCTAAAATACTTCAGCGGTTTAAGCGTGAAGAGGTAACAGAACAGACAGACACACTTTCGCATTTATAACATTAGCATGGACTAAATACATGCATATTATAGATAAATTAAAATTAGATACAGTAGGTACAAATGATCATGCTTATCACATAATTATTTGTTCTGAATGGGAATGTTATAAATTAACTAGCTATGGCTTTTGTTACCTTCATTATTTTATTATTACATACAACCGTACATACCTTTTTTTACCATATTAGGGGTGAAATTGCCCAAAAGATTTTTGGGCAATTTGCAATTTTTTAGTGGGTGTTTACAATTTAATGTCACAATTTTAAGCTTGTAGACCCAAAGGTTTAGGCTCTGCGTTGATTAACCAGTCAGTCAATAATTTTATAAATCATATGTGTATAGACACAGGAGTAATGATTACGTATGGTGACTAAATAATTTTGCCAGGATGGGAATCAAACCGACTGCACTTGGCTTAGCAGTCAGGACTATTAACCACAAGAGCAAATTGGATTCGATCCCGACATGGAACAATACTTTGTGTTATTCACAAATTGTTGTTGAGTCTGGGTGTTCTTTGTGTCCGTTTCATGTATGTTTCTAAAGTCCCCCGCGACACAGAATATATATTAGTAGTGCGGATTGTCTTTCAAGAAAAAAATTAACAAGTTATTAGAAACAAAAACAAAAAAAAACAACTGCATGTAAGTGTGTCATCCTCACCATTCATGTGTTGATGGTGGATTAAGTATACGGAATGTCACCACCCCCATTCGTGGGAGAGGGAGCAAACTACGCATGACAACAGCACTGCAAAGAGAAGAAAAGCTTGACAAAAACCCTATACCAACCCGTCTGGCCAGCGTGGAATAGTAGGCCAAAACCTTAATTCTAAGGAGAGGCCTATGTCTAGCAGTGAACTATTAAAGGCTGTTGATGTGATGTGATGAACGGAACATGAATGCCAAAATTTATCAACCCGTTTAGGCTACAGAGCTTGCTAAAGAATTATACAGAACAGAGTCAGGTGAAAATACATACCGAAATATGTTTTAAAATGTATCTACGGTTACATAATAATATATATTCAAATCCTACTGTAATTTGTATCTATGCCATGATATATCAAAATTAGCATTCATATCTCTATCCGCATGTAGATTGTACGATAAAAAGATAAAATATGTCTTTTGAATTATCACATTACACATTATCAATTTTGGAAGTCAGTGAACTTGTAAAAGAACTAGTTTCTGATAACACAAGCATTGTCTGGAGATTTCGGTCTCATCTTGTTTCATCTCATTTAACCAACTTTAATAAAAATCTTAGTTAAATGAAAATGTTCTGAACACTATCTGTATAAATAAATAAAATTGCAATGTGTGCTTGTAACGTCAAAATAATCGTTTTTGTTTCATGCTCACATGGTTATTTGCATGTTACCTATGCCTGTCTATATAAGAAGTAACTTAGGCTACTTTTTCTCTCAGAAAAACCCTTTAAATTTTGCCTGGTCTAGGAATCGAACCCACTAAGGCAGCGCTTTAGTAGTTAGCCAGCTAAATTAGTAATAAACAATCATGATCAATTGCAGTGTGGTTACCATAGCACAGAATCTGCCTACTTTGAAATCAGAGGGTGTAAGATGTGTCAAGTAGGTATTTTCGTCAATGCTTTAATAATACTTTTTAGTTTAAAAACCAATTTCCCAATAGCTGGTGTGTACAAGGACTTCCATAGATAGTGGAGTCACTGAAGTGTACCAATAAGTGTTCCATGTAAGTGGAGCGATAAACTTACTAACTACACTTTACGATACACATACCAACTTATATAGTGTCGTGATTTGAAAAAATGCAGATTAGTTACACTACTCTAGTTAAGAAAGAGTCTGAGCAGTGAATCTTCATCATCCTCATCAACAGCCTTTAATAGTCCACAGCTGAACTTAGGCCTCTCCTTAGAAAGGTTTTGGCTTGCTAAACCACGCTGGCCAGACGGGTTGTGATAGGGTTTATTTCAAGTTTTCCTTCTCTTTGCAGTGCTGTTGTCCTGCACTTTTTCATTGTCCGTGTGGTGATGGATTAAGAAACAGAGTGTCACCTCCCCTATTCATCCTGTGGCTGTCATAAGAGCCGACAGAGTAAACTGGGCAGGAATCTCAAAAGAATACTTCCCAATTATAGAGATTCTAATAAGTAAACCATTTAACTAAAATTACACTATAATTCACAGTTTATATAAAAAAAAGTTGCTGACCTTACCTCAACTTGTGGATAAACCAATAGGAATGTGACCGTTTTATATATATTATCCCTGTATCTTCAATACTGGATTATAAATCATTATTCTTAATATTACGGCAATAAAACACTTAGCTCAAGACCCTATTAATAATAGGATCAGCTTACATGTCATAGCTTATCAATATTTACAGCACTGTACTAAATTGTGTCAACTTGTATAAGATTTTGAGTATTAAATTCAATGCCATCAGATAAATTCAAATGAGAGCTAAATTTGCGGATCCAGGGCCTTCAATTTTTTTTTTAATTTTAAAGTGAAAGTTTGATCACTGTTGTCTTCACATGCCAATAGACATTATATCTATGATTATTATAATATTTATCACCACTTATAACAACTTAGAGATACTTACTAGAAACGAAGACTATTTTGCAATGTTGTTGACCTCTTTATAGGCCGCTTAAACGTACACTATTACACAAAACCGATAAATTTACAAACAACACTTTACGAAACACATATAAACATATATTATGTCACGATTTTAAAAAATGTAGATTAGTTGCACATAGTTTACCGGATCAAACAGTTCATGTTTGTTTGCCAAAGTACATTGTATTCGATTGTTTATAATTTACTTTCCACGAAATAGTAATTCTGGTAGGAACAGAAAAAAACACTTTTCATTTCATTGTGTTACTTGTCACTTGTCATTTTGACGTTTTCAGTCGAAACATCTAATATTGAAAAATGCATATCGGAATTTTAATACAGAGATAATTAAGAGAGAGGGATAAATAATTAGAATAATTATGGTAATCAGTAAAAAAAGTAAGAATCAACAAAATATAAACTTTCTTATAAAATTTAATAATAAGTTAATGTTTTGAGTTTTTGAACTTTAGCACAAAATATTTTAGTATAGATAGAGTTGGAGTATTAAAGAGGCAAGGAGCACTTACTCACAGCGAATAAGTATTAAGCAAAAAAGTAATACATACTAGATGATAAACCAATGAGAATGGCCCCAGTGTAGGTAAAGTTGGATGTTTCTGTCTTCCTCCAGTAACTTTTGGGATTTTCTTTGCAATTTACCCTAAGTCCCTGATGAATTTGTACTGTTGCCCTAATTTAAAACATAACCTGATTTAATAAATCGAAATAAAACAATAGAAAAGAGCCTACTCCTTCCTCGAGGGCCAGCAACGCGCTTGTGACTCCTGAGTAGCAGGTATTTATGGGCGGCGGTAGTCCCTTTCTATCAGGTGACCCGTCTTAACTTTTCATCAATTACAAATTGATTATAATAAGAAAATATAGACTTTCCTTGCTGTTATGGGTAATTTGAAAGTTTTATAAGTATTCTAAGGGAAGAATGAGCTCAGTAGTTGGTAACACATGTCAGTCAGTTGTCAGTTCACAGTTGTCACATCGGTCATACGTAACGTAAACTAAGTTGTAGGGAGTTATATTATAATTGTTTATTTTGTTTTAATAATAGATAATTAACATGTCATCACATAATCTAACTGTTTGTGATATCGGTGATGACGTGAAGGAGGTTTTAAAGAAGTTCCGATTTCAAAAACACACCACGAATTCAGCACTTATATTGAAGGTATGTGTCGACCCTGTTTTTGCCAAATATGTACGTTATTACTTACTGTTATAATATTTTATATGTTATAAGCATTCAGTTGTAGTGTAATTCAATTATATTTACAGTTCAATGTAAATTATTAGCTCCTGAGTCATTCGTCCATATCTCCGTCAGTACGTCACTCTAATCGTTTCGTAAAGTACATTACAAGGATATTTATTCGAATTCATGACTAGTATACGTTCTAGCTAATAATATCCATTGCTCATAACTAATATACTTCTGAGAAATATTCCTGTTTAATATGCAAATATTTTCCCGCCCTTCCTACTTCCTACTACGCGTTGCGAAGCGCGCTCGCTTCCAGGAAGCAGAGGGACCATGGGGTTCCCACACGGGGGGTCGTCCACTCGTCTGTAGATGGCCCGAGGTATGTCGGGGCACCAGGGACTACCTTTCTCTAGGGTATACCTGGTTCCCCGGCTATTAGTACCCGAGACGCCCGAGACAGCGTGTGATTTTAGTCGGTTCGTGTCCGACATGCCACCGATAGGTGGTATCCGAGGGGACTTCCGCACGGAAAAAAAAAAGGTATAATAATAGTAGTGCCTTTAGTGTATATTAGCATGATCTGCATATCTGTTATTTGTCTTGTTATGTTTTATTGTTATATATCTATATGTTATCAATCTTATGATGTATGTATACGGCGTAGCAATTAGGATCTGCAACTGGTTTTTTACGAATAGCATCATTTTGGGCGCAATTGAAAACCAGCGTCAGGCTTCCATCTGACCCAAGGCTGAATTGGGTCCGTTTTTGGCATCGTTGGTAATCCAAGCTACAACATTGTTAAAACTGTTGTATTATTGCCAAAATAAACGTTTTTTATTTATTTCTTCTTTCTTCCTTTTCCAGGTCAACCGAGAGAAGCAAGCCTTGGAAGTAGACGAAGAGTTGGAGAGCGTAGAACTGGAAGAGCTTCAAGATATTCTACCTTCACACCAACCACGCTTTATAGTGTACAGGTGAGATTTTAGTATAAATTGGATGATAGTTTATTTGTATTACTTTAACGCATATAAACCTTGACCGACTATCGTGAAACTTTGCGTAAACGTGGTCAGGGGCACAGTCGGGAAAAAAAAAAAAAAAAAAGGGGCACAGAAAAGACAGAGTGCCTTCATCATGTAAAAGTACTGTCCTAGGGTTAAATGAATTTATTCCGGTGTTAAGCTATTCTCTCGGATGTTTTCATCGAGTGAGTTAAGTTACTAGAACCTTTTTTTTTTAACGTGTGGAAATCCCCTCGGACCGTCACCCCGACAGGGTTCTCTGTTCGGCGGGGCGGTGTGTCGGACTCGAACCGACTAAAACCACACGGTGTGCCCTCTTTGCGCTTCCAGTTTAGGGAGGGTCCAGGTAGTTATCGCCTTCTGGACCCCTCCCAACGCCGGCCCGCTCCTGGTGCGGGCTCCGTCTTCAATTATCCTCTCTTTAGGCGACGTCTGGCACACGCGGACGCCGCCCCCTCGCGTTGGCCAAACTAAAGTTACTAGAACCTATACCAACCACTTATTGGGGAGGGGTAGGGGGTGTTTGGTTCGATGCATGTAAAAGACAAAGAAAAAAAGTTAAAAACTTTCTGCTTGTTTTTGAAGTAAACCCTGCTTTTTTTGGTAGGGGTAAAACTTACGGGTTTGCGTCATCAATGACCTCGTGACGTATTGCACCAATTTAGCGACGCGTAGTTTCAGTGTTTTGAGTTTTCACTTCTGTCGATAGTACTTATGACTGCCTCTGTTTTTTTATACGTTACATCTTTCCACTACCTCGCCTGCACATCACATCACATCAACAGCCTTTAATAGTCCACTGCTGGACATAGGCCTCTCCTTAGTAAGGAGGTTTTTGGCCTACTATACCACGCTGGCCAGACGGATTGGTATAGGGTTTGTGTCAAGTTTTCCTTCTCTTTGCAGTGCTGTTGTCCTGCGTAGTTTGCTCCCTTAGTCGCCTCTTACGACACCCGCGGGATGAATAGGGGTGGTGACACTGTATTCTTAATCCGTCATCACACGGACTGCAATCTATGAGAATAATTTTGTAGAAAGGGGCGGAATTGTGTAACAGGAAGCCCGGAAAGAGCGCGCTATTTGAATAGTCCAATGAGCGCGCGGTGCTAGTGTTGTCCGTCAGACGGTAGGTGACATGTCAGATGTTACACATCATATGTGACTACTTTAGAGCTCGCTGGTTTCCTTTTTGTTAAATGGCATCAATAAAATAAATTGGAAACAGTATTTCACCAAGTTTATTATCCATATGCCGTATTTCGACCTATGGGCGATAACTAGTACGATATGCCTGTTGGTCTATTGGTTTAATTAGTGACACTGAGTGGCAAGCCAGAGGTTGTGGGTTCGACTCCCACCCAGGGCAAATAGTTGTTTGGTAAGCATGATCATATGTTCTGCGTCTGGATGTACTTATATAGTACAGGCTCTGTCTAGTTTGGCATCAGACGGCCGTGTGTAAGATAAATTAAGTTATTATAATGATCTGTTTGTATTATTTCCAGCTATAAACTGGAGCACAGCGATGGGAGGACGTCGTTTCCTATGTGCTTCATATTTTACACACCACGGGATGCCCACATGGAGTTGCAGGTAGGACATCATACTATTGATCAAATACTCCCTTCCTCTACAAACTCTCTATCCGTCAGAATTCTTGTACTAAAAATTCGTTCAAAATTCTGTTCCAATCAACTCTCGATCTTACAAATATTTGTGTATGTATGTATGTATTTCAGATTACTTATGTACCGTTATGTACCGTGTGGTGACGGATTAAGAATACAGAGTGTCACCACCCCTATTCATCCCGTGGGTGTCGTAAGAGCCGACTAAGGGAAAAAACTAAGCAGGACAACAGCACTGCAAAGAGAAGGAAAACTTGACACAAACCCTTTACCAACCCGTCTGGCCAGCGTGGTATAGTAGGCCAAAACCTCCTTTCTCAGGAGAGGCTTATGTAGAGGCTGTTGATGATATAACTAGGTATTGCTAGTACTGACTGCTATATATAATGAACACTCTTTGTTCTATAACTGTCCAAGGATTGCTGTTGTGCTGTATAGATATTTTTTTTGTTTCCTTTCAACTTTTTTCTCCCCAAAGCTGCCAAATTACATAGTTACAGTATATTTGTCCATCCAAAGGTTGTCTGTAAGAGATTGCTTTTTAGCGATAAGGCCGCCATTTGTACATGGTCATTACTTTGAATACTATTGTATGTATAATATCCTGAATTGGTGTACAATAAAGATTATTCTCTTCTATTCTATTCTAAAAATATCATAAAAGGTATTTTCATGAAGTCTGTAATGTGATTATATCGTATTGTGATCGAAAGTTGAGTTGGTATTCTGCTAGTTTTAGTAATATTTTACTATGAGAATACCTATTATTAGATCGGAACTGAATTTGGACCGAACTTTTATTACGAGAATTGTGGTCGTGTGTATGGACTACGTAAGCAAATCTTTGAAGCCAATCGTAACCTACTTGTAATATTCGTATCGACATGTGACTTTGGATTACAATATTATAATCTGGCATCTTTGAGTGGATCTGATGATCAAGCCAGGTGTGGTGGTTTTTAAGGCTGAGCATTGACCCCAAGTACAAGAAAAGGGTTTTTTTTTTGTTTTCTGGTAGCAAGAATCACTTAAAATCATAATTATAAATTACTACGTGAAAACTTAAGGGGGATCTTGGCATATGTTACTGGACGGTTGGACATGACATGGTATCGGTGTTTTCACTTATTTGCTTTATCGTAGTCGTTCCACGTCCATATACCCCCTACACTAAACCTTTTCGACCTACAAGCGATGTCTAGGGTCCCGTAGTGACGTGTGTGCGCTGTGCCAGGTGATGTACGCGGGCACGCAGCGCGCGCTGGCCGCGGCGGTGGGCGCGCCGCGCCTGCTCGAGGTGCGCGAGCTCGACGAGCTCACCGCGCACTGGCTCCAGGACAAGCTGGCCAGATAGACCCAGCGCCTCCGCACCACATGCTCTGACGAGTGCTTTTCCTTACTACTTTATGAGTAAATCATTTATTTTCTCAAAAATAAATTTACATTTCCTTCCCAAACTGATATCACTCAAACATTGAAATATTGTAATATTTTTGTTAAACAATTGTAATATAATTTACAAATTTTATAGAACTGCATATATTTTTATGCACGAATTCATCTTTTTGTATTTGTCTGTGTATTTCTATGTATGTATTTACATAAAAATGTGTATCTAAGTTTGTATACCCGTGTTCTTAAACCCACAGTACAAGCTATGCTAGTTTGGGTCTAGGTAGCACTGTGTTATATGAACCAGAATAATATATCATTTAATTTAATATAAAAAAGTTCAAATCTTTTTCTGTATTTCTGTATCGATGTCTTGCATCAGAGAATACTCCCACCTAAAATGCCAGCAAAGCACTTGTAACCCTTGATTTGAGAGGTCCATAAGGGGGGTCACTTACCCAGTGACCCTCTACCGACCCCTTACATCAAAAATATATCGACACGTCATTGTCGCGCAAATAAAGTAATATATTCCTTTAATTTTAGACACATTTTAAGTATTCTTAGATAAGTGTAATAAATTAGTTTTAAACGTTTTGTGTAACATTCGTTTGTAAATGTAGGATGTGTTAGTGGATATACATTTGTACAATTTTCTGTGTGTTATAGCCATTATAACGTTAAGAGAATGCTTTTAGTTTTAATGTGAAAATATAACGCAGGCGCAGCACAGGGCAGATCAACTTTTGTATAAAAAATGTTTTTATACTAACTTAGTGACATTTTAATGTGGATTTAATTGTTCCTTGATAAAAAGTAGCTTAAGTACTATTCTCATATTTTCTCTTTGAATATTATCTACCCCTGTGTCTAATTTCATCCAGACCAGTGCAGCCGTTCTCACATGAGTAATATGAATCCTCCATCCATATTCACTAACTTTGTTTTGTTGACATCCGTTTGGTATAACTGAACATCTCGCCGTTTCCTACTGCTCTGAGTGTTGTGGGTTCGATCCCCACATGGGACAACACTTGTCACACACACTGAGTCTGGGTGTTCTTTGTGTCCGTTTCATGTATGTTTGTCAAGTCCCCCGCGACAGGATATATTCAAAGTGTGAGAGTTGTATTTTTTAAGCATATTAAATGAATTATGGTAAAATTTGATCTTTTTGAATAAAAAAATGCCCAAAAATATGTGAGATATTAAACATTCCCGGGGATTCAAACTTGCCACAAACTGTGGTAGATACATTTCAGTTATCTACTTCTACTTTTGTTCTGTGCAGTTCTTCTCTGCGCTGCGCTGTCTGCATCGAATCATCTATTTTTTTTTAAATGAATGTTGAGATGTTCTCATGACAATTCTTGCCATAGTATTTTGACTATAACATATGCCATTTAACTGACTCATAGTTGGTCGTGTCATAGGTCCGTGTGGTGACGGATTAAGAATACAGAGTGTCACCACCTCTGTTCATCCCGTGGGTGTTGTAAGAGACGACTAAGGGAGCAAACTACGCAGGACAACAGCACTGCAAAGAGAAGGAAAACTTGACACAAACCCTATACCAACCCGTCTGGCCAGCGTGCTATAGTAGGCCAAAACCTCCTTTCTAAGGAGAGGCCTATGTCCAGCAGTGGACTATTAAAGGCTGTTGATGATGATAGTTGGGCGACTGCAATTCGAGCCGATAATTTGAAATTCTAAATGAAATAATATGTATACACGTACCGAACCAAAGCCTTTTTTACAGCTAAATGTACTGTCTAATATACCTCAATATTATATAACTTTTTAACCGACTGCAACAAAATGCAGTTTTCATGTTCGCTGTATTTTTTGTTCGATATTTTAGCCAATTGTGCACTGATTTGAATTTTTATTTAAAAAGGTATTAATTGATGAGTAATGTAGCTACAATATGTTTGGGGACCTTCCCATAATATGTGATCCAGTCGAGGGGGGAGGTTTGAAAATACCACGCCGGTGGAGGCTTAGGGCAATATCAAATATGGCAAGCGCGGTGTAATAATGACGAATATCAGCCATATTTTTTTTTAATTTCCTGTTTTACACTGCGGGAGGGTCCCTGAAGAAGGGGGGGTGTTAAAAATGTAAAGATTGGGTCACGTAGTATGGGTTACGTTTCCTTATGTAAGGAGAGTTATCCACTCCTCGCATCGATAGTGATAGTGTACCAGGTTTCTGTGGGTGAGCCATCCTTTTCTGTCTTTTCATAGGCGGCGGTAGGCACTTAACATCAAGTGACCCGCCTGTTCGTTTGCCCCTTGTAATATGAAAAAAGGTCGACAATTTGGTCGCATGCCTGTCTGCCATGTCTTAGCCTTCTGATTTTTCTCATTTAAGTAAAACAAACTGCCATTGTCTTAAAGCCATTGAAAAATTGATAATGTGATGTGTGATGAAATTTTAAACTATAAAAATTGTCTATAATTAATTTTATATTTAAATTTATTTAAAATTTAACTTTCAAATAAGATAGTACTAGTGATGTGCCGAATCTATCTCCGCGGATACGGTCTCGAGTTTCTTAGTTTTTAACAATACTTAAATAAATATTATTTAATATAATAAGACTGCACGGATGGCGTACTGGTTTAAGCGGACGCCACGCCGCTTCCTACAGCGACGAGTGTTATAGGTTCGCTACGTACATGGGACGACACTTTGTGTGATCCACAAATTGTTGTTCTGAGTCTGGGTGTTCTTTGTGTACGTTTCATATATGTTTGTAAAATCCCCCGCGACACGGGATATATTCCTAGTGCGGGAGTAGTCTTTTTAAAGAAAAAAAAACTAAATTACCTGTTTTTATTTCATTGTGTGCCGTTTTTATGATTTTTATACACATATCACAACGATTTAAGTTCTGATTTCGTTATAAAGTTATTCTTACCTTAGAATTGTTAATCATAACAGTAACTCATTATATTGGATATTATCACATTCCATTGTATTAAAGTAAATCTAGAATAAAATAAATATCAATCTGTTCAATATCCGCCATAAAGTAACATACATATCTTTTTCTCCACTCCGATATTCGGATTCGTATATCCGGCACATCACTACATAATATATTGATATCTAGATTGTCTTCAATGTTTAATTCAATGAAATGTACCACGAATTGTTGTAATATTTTTATGTCACTTTGAATATAACTAGCGTTAGGTAGTTTTTAAAGTTATATAAACGCATTCGTAGTGACCAATATAGCATTTATATTATTTTATAATAAATTTGTATAAAAGACAAAATAAATTATTAGTTTAGTACTATGTTATTTTATTATACTTACCCCTATATTATTGTCTTTTAACCCGTTTCATTGTACATGCAATATTTTTGGTCCTTCGAGCCTCTGGATACCTCAGCCATGTGTTTGGATTATGTGCTGTTTATCAGTATCGAACCGAGAACCCCACAACCATTGGCTCACAGTATCCTAACAGTATAAACAACAATATTGCAGTTTTGTCATTGTATTCAATTTAAACCCACCTACTTTTGTAATATATTGCTTATCCTTCCATCTTTTATTCTCATATTGCTTTTGTGGGACTAAATTGCAGTTGACGATGTGTGTCATTAATACGTCTGTACTTACCACCTTTTTTTTTCCGTGCGGGAATCCCCTCGGATACCACCTATCGGTGGCATGTCGGACTCGAACCGACTAAAACCGCACGCCGTCTCGGGTACTAATAGCCGGAGAACCAGGTATACCCTAGAAAGGAAGTTCCTGGTGCTGAACTTACCACCTAGCGAGTGTATGTACATAAAAGAGCAGTCTGGATATCTCAACTACCATCAGTCGGACAACTCTAGCACTTTGCTCATATCAAAAGCGCGCGCTTCGCCAACTTCCTGTAACACACTTCCGTCCCTGGAAGAGAGTACGTGTGACTCGCACAGGTCAGTTAAATCTATCTCTCTCGCTCTTACCATCTATTTTAAGGAAGAAACCAAATGAAAATCCACTCAAGGTCAATCACCTTTTATTAAGTTCATTGTGCATTCTGTTACAAAATAAATGGCGGAGTAACAATGTAGAGCGTGCGTCGGTGCCCCAACTTTATACAGTAATGCCATGACAAAAATAACCGCACATCTCACGTAACTATATGATACTCTAACAGACGGAAGCCGGTCGTAGACTAGATGGCGCCACTCGCGCAAACAAAAATACCCACATTGTTCATTTACACTACTTTGTGTGCCTTTAAAACCATGCCATCAATTATATGTTACATTCGCTTTTTTATGGTTATTTTAAGTTGAATAATTAATTTCATACCTCTCAAAAGCACCATTTAAAAATAAAAAATCACACAGTTCCAAAGAATGTTCACGCTACAACAGCTAATGGCACTTCCATTCGCAACAAGTCCAGGGAAGCGAGCAATGATTACATCAGCACATCGCCGCCATTTTATTTCGTGCTAAAGCAAGATGGCGCGTAGATAAAACAGATTATTTTTTTCTCTCGTTTATATTAATAATATGGTAATACTTAACACTAGATATATTTTAATAATTAATAATCGTTACATACATTATAACTAAGCAGCAAGACTAGAATTTGATGGCGACTACTTAATATATAAATATATTTATATGTTTATACAGATTTTTTAAATTATAAATATGGTTTTGAATAATATACATGTTTTAATATTTCCCAGTACAAATATATATTTTTCTTTATACAATTCCTTTTATTAAATAAGATTTCCGTTTCAATCAGATATAGAAAAATTATTATAATGATGTACTTCAAGGTATATATATAATTTTATTTTGATAATTTTAGTTGTAATAAAACAAAAATATATATATATATATATGTATATATTCAAAACCACATAGAAAAGTATTGGTTTAGCAATAATATTGTAGGGACCGTTTATAAATACAAAATGTTTGTGTGTG